GCCGGGAACATCTCACGCGTCGGCAGAAGCCGCCGGAGAGAGAGCAGTGCCTCTCAGGGACAGAGGCGGGCAGGGGGAGACCCGATGGGAGCGGCTTGGGCTGTTCTGCCTGGAGACCTTACAGCAACCTCCTGAAGGGGCTCTACAGGGAAGGCAGAGAGGGGCCCTTGGTCAGGAACTGTAGTGATTGGATAAGGAGTAATGCGTACAAACCGAAAGAGGAGAAATTTAGGTTAGATATTAGTAAGACATTTTTTGCTGTGAGGGTGGTGAGACACTGGAAGAAGTTGCCCAGGAAAACTGTGTATGCTGCAACCCTGGCAGTGTTCAGAGCCAAGTCGGACAAGGCCTTGAGCAACCTGGTCTAGTGGGAATGTCCCTGCCCATGGCAGGGCGTTTGGGGCTGGGTGATCTTTAAGCTCCCTTAACATTCTGTGATTCTGTGAAGCAGAGCACAGAAGCTGCCTCTAGTACCTGTGCCATTCCCATCTGCAGGCAGACACCAGGCACTGTCATCCAAGGATTTACAGCAGTCATCCTTCCTGCTCAACACAAAGTCAGAGGACAGGAGACGGACTCCAACAGTTATCCTGATTCAGGAGAATAGTATCCTCAACATACATGAAGTTTTGGTCTTCATTAAGCCAACTGCCCCTTTTGCATGAACCCTTTGTCACATATCAAATAGTTTAAAACCTAAGGCAATGAATGTGTGTCTTTGTGAAACTTCCAGAGCTACATGGAGGAACCATGGATCTAACATCCTCACCCTGATGCCACTCACATGGTCTCTGACCATGCCATGGAGATGTTTCTCTAGTCTGATGTTAAGAAAGAAATGCCCATTCAATCACGATGATTTGCAACCTCTTAGTTCCCATACTTGGTGTTCATTTTAGGTTTTATTTAAACCTTCTTTGGTGCAAATTAAATTGATTTCTTTTTGTCCTGTTCTCAGTGGACACAAATAGACATAATTTCCAGGGATCTGTTTACAGATGTTCCATTCATGCAGTGTGCAGTGGCTAGAGGCCTTGCTTGGGTTAGTACTGGCTCATGGACAGCTATGCTTAACCTCTTGCACTCCTCTCTTTCATACCAGCTTTGACTTTGTTGTCTCGGGTCCCCAACTTATTTCGTCAGTTTTGATTTAAATCCCGATTTACCTTCAAGCTGTTTATACTTCTTGGGCATTGTTTTTGTTTCCTGCTTCTTTAATGCATCCCTCTGTAGTTTTATCTTGCTGATCACTGATCTCACAGAGACCTTTAAACTCTTTCCACCATCACTTTTTTTCCAGCTTCTGCCTGCTTTTCTTCCCAACCACCCACCTCAGCAGTTCTCCACTGCTGGGGCCCCTCTCAGTGCCATCACGTTGGCATAGCATCAGTAGTCTGTGTAGAAATGGCCTAGAAATGAACGACAGTGTCCATTTCTGTCCAGATAAGTATTTAATACTTTGTGAAAGTTTTCATTTTGCGACTTTTTATAAGATACATTGCTAATGGATAACAAGTAAAATTGGAAATAAGTTTTTTCAACTCCAGTTTTGCTGTAGCCTTCCTACCATCTTCCCAACTCTGGGGCTTCTAACTCTTTGGTCTTTCCAAAACAATGCTGCAGGGTCTTTTCTGCCACAAATGTAGAATGTGTGTGTTTTACATATATCTGTATATTCTTAATTAAATATGCTACTGTGTATTGTGATAACTTATTTGCTATGATTTTTCTTTCTGCTTTTAAATTATAACTTGAATTAAAAAACTCAAACCAAAAAAGCTCAAGCTTTAAGAAAGCTAATTTGAGGTGATAATGGGGTTTAGCCAACCATATTTATGTTATGTTGTCAAAAAGGGTTTTATTTCACCATTTCTTGGCAAGTCAAAGTGGGGCTTTGACTATCATTTCAATGTAATTCAAGGTCAAACAACACCTTGAGATTACAGTGCACTTCTGTTGGCCTCATGAAAGACCAGGGAGAGGCAAGGATGGCTGTGAGTGCTGTTTGATCACTCCCTACCTCACCTGAGAGATAATAGAAAGAGCAGTGGTTACCATATTTTGTCAAAAAATTAAAACCAGCATGTCTTTTATTTTAGTTCTGCCCAACAGAACTAGCATGGGTGACCTTTTTTGGTTACTTTTGTGTAGGCAATAGCTGAAATGTTTTAAGAGCTGTTGAATACCTGGCAATTATGTGTAGCAGGGAAGGAGGGCTCAGGACCTCTTAAAAGTACCCCTCTCTAAGTTCCTCTCTGGTGGATCCCAAGTTTTAGAATGTTGATCCTAAATTTTGAGCATCCTCTTCAGTTTTCTGATTCTCCTTAATAGAACTAGCCTGTCTTTGAAGTGGGTTGAAAGGCAACTCTTAGTCTGTGGCCTGATTGGAATTGGAAGTGCCTGATTTAGCTGAGGGATTTCACACAGTGTAAGCTCAGATGAAGTTGAAGAGTAAAACTCTTTTCTTGCAATTAATGGGAATTTCCACTTCATTTTATTTTTGCCCGGGTAAGAGAAAGGGCTGCCCATTGGAGTCATCAGAACGCATCCCTGCTCTGAAATACTTCAGATGTAAATAGACAGGAGAAAGAAGTGGAGAAAAAAAATCTTGGCTCCACCTGGGGAGAGGACTGTGTTAGAAACACACTGGCTGTCCATGCAGAACCCTTTCTTCCTGGGAGCTCTCAGTGAGAGTTTTTTATTGGAAATGTTGCACATCCACACACACTTTGTTCATTTCCTGCTTGAGGATTTGAATTGCTGTGCAGTGGATTTCATTGCATTGTTTCCTCTTAGCTTCCTACTGCTATCTGGTAGTCTGGTGGCACACAGCTGAAGAATCCTTTGTTCTTATTTTCTGAGTGTCACCATTCCACAGTCAGCTGCAGAGGATGCACCTGGAATGCTTTTTCCAGAAATATTTGTGTTGTAAATGCATGAAATTGGGTATGAATCTTATGGACTGGTGCACTCTGCATTTCTGCATGGTCCTGTACTATGGTACTTACTACGTCTTTTGTGAGAAAAGCAGGTTTTATTCTCTTAATTCCCATAGCCAAAACTGATGCTATTCTTGAGATACGCTGCACAGTTATTACTTGCATTGGTAGCATGGACCTTTCTTGCAGCTTCTGGGTCTTAATTACTCCCTTAAGTGTATGGTAGAGCCAAGAACCTCAAATTTTGTGAAGTCTTTGGTTTTTGGCCCTGTGGGACATGGGTAGTTAAATCAATGGCAGAGATAACATAAAATGACCACAAGTACTTGGTTCTTTTAAAGCATGCCAAAGCTGTCTCTAAAGTGACTTTATTTGTACTCTAGAATGCTTCTGTGATACAAGAACAGCAAAAAATAACACCTTCTAACAAAAGTTAGTATTTCTGCCCTTGTTATGTTTTGTTGGTTTGGGCCCTCAGGACTTATTCCTGTAACAAGTGGCAATTTGTCACCATTACATCTCCTTGCAAATGGGGATCTCATAGTACCAGCTTTCTGTTTAGCAGGTTATCTTCACAGGTTACTGTTTCTGCTTCATTTGAGACAGTTCTTGAGGACTTGAAGCAGTTTTGGTACTAAGTCTTTGAACAGGATTTGAATTAGTAGTTTCAGCTGAACTGCATGCCACTAAAAATACTTCAGGCTTGGCTTTTAGCCTATACAATGCTGCTGCAATGATGTGGGCCTTGGGTGCAGCCTCACTTATGACTTTGGAATTAACTCTCTTTGCACTAGTGCCAATAGAGGGTACTGCTGTTAACTTTGACTATGGAAACTCATTTTCTTTATGTTTTTTGTTAAAGAATGTTTTCGTGTCTCCATTATAAGCCTGTATGATGCCTGAAGGGACAACATGCACATTCCCACTGTACATGTAAATTGACTTGTTAATCACATAGACTTTCTTTTTAATTAATTAGTAAAAATATATAAAGGAGATCTGCCAGTTGTACATGATTTCACAATAAGTGCAAACCAACCTCAGTTATTTACCATCACCAGTTTATTACTGTTTACACTGAGATTTCAAAAACAGGAGATAAGTTTATCCTTTTCAGTCAACTACACTTAACAGGTTACTTGGGATTGTCATTGTAGTATTTTTTAATGAACTTTCCCTCTGAGGTAGGCAGCTCCCTGCTCACTTTGTACAAATAGGGTAAACGTGGTTTTTACTTAGGCCATCAAAGAGTCACGGTCAGAGAGAGGGCCTCAAACTCCAGGTGCCTGAACTGAAAATAAAGACCACTAATTTCAAAGTAAGTTTGTTTTGCTTTTTAAATTGGAGAATGTGGAATTTTCTGCTATAACATGTATAAACTCTAGCATTCTTTGCAATCACGTTAGTGAATCCTGGCTGGATAATTAATAAGACATTGCTGTTTGTTTGCCTCCCTAAAGGCATGTTGAGGTTGGCTACATGGACTGCCACATTAAACAATGTAGACAACAAGACTGACTGTAGAATTTGCAGAGTAAAAATACTAGTGTTCAAACAAGACCTTCTTTCCAATAGATTATTATAAATAAAACTGATCTGATAATTAGAGCAGAAGGTGCAGTGGCCAAAATATAATTGATGAATAATTTGCATAGTT